AATAGCAAAACCTAAAAACCAGAAATTTTTAAGTGCAAAAACCGAAACACCGATCTGAAAATGATTCAAAACCGTAAAACCACAACTCCCAAACTCGAGAATGGACAGAAGCGGAGTTGACTTATTTTGAACATTTCCTTAGTTTCTATTAAAACTTGACGAAATCGTTCAAAACTCTTTTAGCTGACTGTCCTTTTGGAGCAAAAATTTTCTCTACGCAAACCCCTCTGATCTACAAGTGCGCGGGTGGAAACTTCGGTGATTTCTCCTTCTCGGGTCGCTTCCCACGCTCTGTGTTAGAATACAGAATTTTCTTTGGGATAATCACGTAATCCTTCTTCTTGAAGGAGAAAAGATTGCGTGATGTGCCTTAAAACAATGTCTGCGTAGTGGGTGTCCAACAACGCCACTAAGACGCTGAGCACACTGAGTGACAAAACACTTGAGGCACCTCGATTTTATTTTCTCATCACATCGCGTACCAGACGCCTCGAATATTCATCTGCTTGATTACTGGCCATTACTGGCGGAAGTTGTACAGTGCTGTCTAAANCCTCGATTTTATTTTCTCATCACATCGCGTATCAGACGCCTCGAATATTCATCTGCTTGATTACTGGCCATTACTGGCGGAAGTTGTACAGTGCTGTCTAAAATTAAGACAAGATGTTTTGACGTGTTTTTGGGTTGTCAATCAAGCGTAACAAGCGTGCCAAAACTGCCTAGCACGTAGTGTTCACAGCGAAAAGGTCACAAATCAAAGAAGTGTTGTATCACATTCCTGGAGGTTCAGAGTAGAATTCGCTGAGGCGCTCGTGAATACAGCCGACCATATTAGTAGACCTTCACGAAGAAAGTTGCTACTTCGTGCACAATGAAATTGTGATTGAATACTGATTTACGACTTCAAGTAAGTAACAGTGGTAAGTGCATTGTTTAATTTAATTGCTTTATGTGCATGCAGATTTGAGTAGTGTGGCAAGCTGGAAAAATTGCCCGTGTGTCGCTTAAACAATAAACTCAAGAGGAAGCTAGTAGTTCTTGAGGCTGGCAGATCTCGGCGCGAATCAGTAATTTTAACTTGAAGAATTTTACTGTGTCGCGATAA